CACCTGTTGGAAGCCATCTGAGCTTGAAATAGCTCTGTATCAAATTTGGCCATGTGTCAAATTTCTGATACAGTGCTGATTTTCCTGTAATGCCACTTTTACTGTATTAGACATCTTCACTGCCTTTCATTATTCACTGTCAGTCACAGACTGCCAGGCCTATTTCTACTCAGAATATATGCTTGTATAAGCAGTCTTCTATAGCTCCTTTTGTTCATCTGTTGCAAAGGAATTGTGCTGTGTTACTGGTAGGGAAACAAGGGAGGAAAAATACCACTTCTTCCTGCTTCTTTTGGTGATTCCGATCACCTTTCCTTCCCCTGTCCTGTCCTCTCTTTTGCAGTTGTAGTTCTAGATGTATGTGTGTTATATTTCTGGATTTCATGTTCTCTTACATGCTGTAGATACATCTTTGTAGTAGTAAAAGCAATTCTGTCATACTCTTCCATCTTACAGACTATAGTGAAGCTTGTTAAAATACTAGTGCCTGTTTCTTTACAGCCTCTAGCACAACAAACTTGGAGAAGAGTAGGTTTGTATAGGAAAGACTGATGAACCAGCATTTTCTACTGATAACTCTCTGAAGAAAGTTTACAGATAGCAATACTGCATGGTACACACTGTGCTGTATGGCACATACGTTTGAGCAGGACAGCAGTCTCTGAAATTATTTTTTATAGTGGTTGCTGAATCAGGCCTTTTCATACAGAAAATACTGATGTTCTGAAAAGAAAAACCCAACATGGAAAGCAATAGCCAGAGATATATAAAGGCAGAGATAGATAGATAAAACTAAAACCCAAAACAGTTTCTCTGATTGAGAAACCTAAGAGCTAAGTAACAATAAAAATGGGGAAAAGATGACAGATGAACAGTGTGCAGAAAGGCATGACAGAAAGAGTGATATCGATAGGAGAAAATATTAGTGATAAAGATACATAAAATGACCAGAAATGAGAAAGTAGATAAAAGTGCAACATCAGATGAGAGATTGATAGCAAATGGTCAACAGAGTCAAAAGCAGAAAGTTTATTCAGTGTATACATTGTAACTGGAGTATCTGGTTCTTCTTTGGTATTTCAGTGAAAAGTACATGTTTCATACCTGTGTTCATACAGAATGTGATAGTAAACTGGTTTTTGTGCAGAAATTACTGCTATCTGGTGAATGCATAGCTAGGTTAATATTGCTGGTACTCATAACAGATTGTGTACTTTGGTTGCAGGTAATTAATGTCTTGCATTTTAAGCCTTGGCTAGTAAACTGCTTCTGCTAAGCATAGGTGTTACAAAACAAAGTAAGCAGATACCTTGCAGGAGGGAAAACAACCATCAAACTGAAATAAAGTAACATCTTACTCTGGGCCTCTATACAATTCTGATCTCAGTCACTTAAAGGTATCTTACTTGTATTTACATATATTGATATTGAATAGGCTGAAATTTATTACTGCTTTTAATTCCCCCAAATGTTAAAATACTTTCCTTTCATGTGCCTTACAGATCCTGTTGTAATAATGCAAGTCATCCATCCAGATGGCAACCACTGCCTTTTAGGTAGGCAGAAGAGGTTTCCCCCAGGAATGTTTACCTGTCTTGCTGGATTTGTAGAACCTGGTGAGTAACTTTATTTTCCCTTACAAAATGCTTTTTCTCAGATACCAGTATTGTCCATTGAAAATAATATAGAAATATGTTCGATATTATGTCAAATAAATATTTTTGCTACCTGTTAGGTAGCCTGTCCTGTACTTTCCAGCAGCTGATTTATGAAAAAAAAAGCAACATAAGTAAATATAATTTTCAAATAGCTTTCTTATCACATTTTTAAGTGAAAAAGACATTTTAAAACATATATAAGGTCTTTCCTTCAGTGATATTTAGCAAGGAATTTTAGCATAGGGAATGTAAGAGTTAAAAAGTTAACCTAAAGTTAGGCATATGCTTACACATTTAGATCCTGATTGATTACAGGAAGAAGAACAGAAATTAATATCATTTCAGAAGAAAGATATTTTGCCAGCTATGTTCAGCAATAATAGTTGGAATTAGTTACAATTATTAGAAGCTGCAGAATAACTTGTAAAACATTTTATATTGGGAATACATCTTAATCACCAGTGAATCTATAGTGTGTAACTATATTCAGTAACTGCATGCAGGTGAAATACAGTGATAGCATCAATAAGATTATTCAAGTATCATTTGAAAAGTTAAGATATTTGTTTCTTCACTGCTTGCTTTCTTCTGTTGGCCTGATTTCTGATACTGAATTCAAGTATATAAACTGAAATTCAGCAGCAGCTTCTTATCAGCTGAACTAGGACTTCTTTCTCTGATGCATGGACTGTCTGCTTTAATGAACCTGTAATCAGTAGTTACAATGCAGTACAGGTATGCGTATGCCTATTATTGTCAACACTACACGTACACATGTAGCACTTTTCCATGAATATAGAAGTAAAGCTTTCCGTTGCAGTTCAAGTTTGGAGAATTGTCTGTATGTACGAACACAGTGAAGAATGAGTCAGGCAAAGTGAATAATACAAAGCAGAATTGCGTGCAAGTCTTCTTGAGCCTCTATTTTCTTACTATTGTAAGTTTAAATACTGATTTTCAAGTTATATTACATGCTTTTACAAATGTAGTGAAAATAAAAAAAATCATGCTATTCATAAATGAACGGATCAGCATTTCAAAAGTAATTAAAAGAACAATATATTTCCTACCCGATTTTTGACATTTTAGATGTGGTAATAATAGTTTACATGTATGATAAATCATCAATTCAGGAAGTAAATATTATGCTGGGGGAATTATCATACTTTATTTTCAAAGTTCCATTTTGCTTTGGTGGCTTGTTTTACTTTACCAGACTTCTGTATCTTGTGCTTAAGGTCTATGATCTGTGAACTAGATCTCTATAGATAATTGTCTTGGGCAGTTTCAAATCTTTTGAGTCAGTTCAAAGCACAGGATGTAATCGTTGCTTGGAGTATTTTCATCAGTTGCTTGTTCTTTGCCCTTTTTGATTAGGTGAAACAATAGAAGATGCTGTCCGAAGAGAAGTAGAAGAGGAGGCTGGAGTCAAAATTGGCCATGTTCAGTATGTCTCTTGTCAGCCGTGGCCAATGCCCTCCTCCTTAATGATTGGTTGCTTAGCTGTTGCAGTGTCTACAGAAATTAAAGTTGACAAGAATGAAATAGAGGATGCCCGCTGGTTCACCAGAGAACAGGTAAAGTTCAATTCAATTTCCTTCTTGTATCGATTACTCTGTGACTGTATAGGTTCTGGCATACAATAGGTACTTGGGTTTTTTTCAGCAAGTTGAATAAGCATGTATACTCTCCATTTTGTCAATCTACGATTGCATTATACTGTAATTGTAGATTACATGCAACAAAGAGAAAGCAGATATTCGCAGTAATTTCTAAGTCACTTTTAATTTTGGCAGAAGTAGTATTTAATAGCATTCATCATCCTGAGTTTCTCCAAACAAGCATGTAGTGAGATTTGCTGTGAGGAGGGAGGTTTAGGTAAAAACTCTGGTAATTCATTAGTTTGAACATCTTTTTCCGTTCAGTACTTTAGTACACTGACATTGAACTCTGAGGTATTCTTAGTTTGAATACTCTTTGTATAAATACAAAGTTTACTCTGCATTAATAGGAAGTTCTACATTTAGCTTTTTTGAGTACTTAAAATATAGTCAAATAAAAGAGAGGGAAAAAGGTCTTTCACAGAAAGGGAGATTTAAGTTCATGAGTGGAAAAAGGAAAGATTGCTTACGCAAATAGTCTTCACAGGTGTTTCCACGGGCTACTTAGGAGCTAAACTTTTAATGACACTGTACTTCTGCCTAGCGGTTGCAAGTGTTTAAGCTCCGTAAGTCAGCTTACAGGCAAAGTTAGTCAACTCTAATCTCAGTGCATTCCTGACAAGACTGTGAGCATTATTTTAAGTTCTGAATACAGACAGTCACATACATGTTGGTCTAGAGTTGGAATTAAATGTACTTCAGGAATGTACTAAACTGGAACTGCTGAAAGTGTGCTCCCATGTTGCTTGTGAATGCTTTAGAAAATTAACAAAACATATTTCTTTCTGCGCTACGTGTGGGGGAATAAAAAAAAAATTAAACAAAAAAGAAATTTGTGGAAGAGTGTAGAGCACCATCTGGTGGTCCTTACGTAAAGAGGCTTCACATAAACCTTAAGTATTTTGCTAACAGTCAGTCTCCAGAAAGTTTCCAGTATTACAAAGAAGGTATCCTTTGGGGCATCTTTGAGCTCAAAAATGTCAGCATTCACACATTATCGTCTGCGTGTTTTTTCTCTTCGTCTGTCTTGGAGAATCTGGTAGTGGCTCTTTAGTAGCTATAGTAATGGTAGACTGATTGATTATTATAGTAAGAGAATTCCTGCATTCATAAAATGTTAGATTTCATGTACTTTATAATACTGTTTTCTAAAGAAAGAATCTGTCTTTATTGCAGGTCATGGAAGTCCTAGTTAAAGGAAACCAGCGTTCATTCTTTGTACCACCGAGTCGAGCTATTGCGCATCAGTTGATAAAACACTGGATTGGAATGAATGCTAATCTTTAGTTCTAATAAGTGATTTAAGTTAAATTACTTCTTCTAGTGAATGCTAAATGAGGAATAAATTAGAAAGAATTGTTTATCTACTAAATGTGCAAACATGATATTTTGAGCCTTTTCTTTGGTTCCTGAGCTAACGTATGCAAACCTTTGTATGTTTTTTCACATCTGTATTAGAACTAGACAACAACCAAGTAATTATCCCAAGCAAGCAAGGCACAAATAGATAAAACTGATATCTTGGTGTGCACAGGGGTTTTTTTGTTTGTTTGTTTTACAGTCAAATTATTACACTTTTTGCTGTTATGCTCTGAATGTTTGATTTGGCCTTTTCTATACTCCACTGGAAGGAGTCACAGCATTACAAAGAGGCCTGACCTTGCTTGCTGTATTTCTATCCTCCCAATTTGTCTTAATTGTTTCATTCTCATTTTTCGTATCCATTCTTTAAATTCTTCCTGGCACGAAAATCAGGATTCAATGGTGAAAGTCTTATCAATAGTGGTTATTTTTCAGCTAATGGCATACTTAAATGGTAAATATGTAGTACTTTATACCTTTTTACATCAGTAAACCCCTAAGAGTATTTACTCCCTCAGTTTGATATAGCCTGCACCTACCCAATTGTACATCAGCCTGAATTTAAAGGTGTAACACAGGATGCTGTTTATGAAATATATTGGAGAGCCATCCTCAAAAGCCTAAATATTAGTTACTTTTATAAGAGAATAATGATTTACTGGCCCTATGCAGTGAATTATTTCATTCTCTGATAATTGGAAATGTAAGAAGAGTAGATTAATTAAGCAATTCATAATATCGCAGAATATGTTCAGAGCTCTTTCATGGAAATGAAGACACTAAGGTTGTTACTACTGTTAGGAATTCTACAATTGAAAGAAATATGTTAACTCCAGCTGTAAGACTGGGAAAGCAACATAGAAATTAAAATATTTACTTACTTATTTTTAATACTGCAGTTCAGATTTGTGCTTTAATTTATTTTGTTATTGAAAAGAATATTCTTTCAAAATGGAAGGTTATAAAAGTATACTATATTTATTACTAAGCTCATTATGTAATGGTTCACTAGTCAGTGATTGTGCATTCATTGCAGTGATAAAATGCAAATGAATGAAAGAAAATACAATGATAGTTATAAATATTATCATATGATAACTGGTTTCTTCAGAGTAATTTGAATATTTTTTTTAATCAGTGAATGATGTCAGATTTGTTTCAGAATGCTCTGCAAACTGGAATCAGTAAAAAATTTTTAAAATCCTAATGGTTGTTTTTTTCCAGCCAATGTCATAGTATACTCAGCAGCCTTTTTTTTTTTTTTTTTTTAAGGCAGTGCGTATCAAACTTTAAAGCAAGAAGCATTTTGACAGACTTGGAGCAGTTGACAAATCATTACATTGTTTGATTCATTCCCTTGTTTCAGCTGTACCTACAGATGAAGAAAATCAGGTTATCTGTTGAGCCATCTGGAAATGAAAAGGAAGCAATACACTGCTTCCCTTAAAAATTGCTTCTAAGTGGAAGCGTGAAAAGCTACCAGTGGGACTGCATGTTATCAGTGGAATTAATCTTTTAAAAAATGCGGGACCAAAGGAAGCCTAGTTGCAGGTTGTTCATACAAGTAAAGGATAACGCATGTAAACAGTGTTGGAAGCTAAGAAATTGAATTTTTAGCTAGTACTATATAATTATACATTAAGAAAGATGAGCAAGGAAGGGATGAGGATCAGATGAGGGAAGATAAAGAGCAAGTACAGGTAGGGTAAAGATAAAGTATTTATGACATTGAAGTAACTAAAAATACATGTAGAAGACCCATCCTAATACTAATTTTTCATGTAGGAAAATATAGCAGGTTCCTATAACTGTGAAACTCAGTATCCATAACCAATACTGATACTAAGAATCAGACTATTTTTTAATTGACAATCTGTATAAACAATGTATTTCTGCAATTATAGTGCTAATAAATAATTTGAAAAATTTCATTTTACTTCATGAATAAAAATAGAAAAAGGATAGTTTGAAAAGAAAATACTTCCATAATCACTGAGTTTGAAAACAGTATTTTACTGATCTTTCAGCTTTAATAACTTCTGGTGTTGCAACAATTTTTAATGTATATACATTTTCAAAACCTACACCAACAGTCCTTTTCAAGCTTTCTTTTTCCCCTTCCCAACAGATGAACCATTCACAGAGTACATGACAAATACCCTTTAAGGAAAGTAATTTTATAATTGTAATCTCTTCTTTAAAGTGAAACTTTCCCTGACTTTTTATTGCTTAATTTGACCTGTTTGTAGGTTATAGGATTGAGTTACAGTTTGAAAATACCTATGCATAGTAATTTTCCGGAGAATAGTTATTGTTTGCAGATTACATATGAAATATCTACTTCAAGAACCAAATACTGTAGTTATTTAGCAACTAGAACAATTTACAAAAGGACCAAATTAAATTTAGCAAAAGTTAAACAAGAGTGTAGCGGTTCTAACTGGAATATGGTGGCAGCAACACCTCCATAAGATTTTCAGTTACTTGCTGTCTCCAAAAGGCTGCAGATTTGCAGTATTCCTTAAACCTAAAAATAGAGAGGGTTTGTTCACACTGTGTAATAATGATCTTGCTCTCTTCTCTCTTGCTTGTATAATGGTGCCAGAATAAAAAGAATACTCATTACCTATAGATGGACAAGGCAGAAAATTCTGGGGATGCCTGTTCTCCCAATTTGCCTTTACCCTACAGAGAATTAACTTCAGTGTATAATTTGTAAATATTACGTTGTTTATCTGATTTTGAAATCACAGTATTTGCAAATAGTAAAAATAGGATTGAAGTGAAAAAAATAGATGAGGTGTTTAAACACAAACTAAAATAGCACTAACCAAGCTGAAAGCTCATGTGGTAACATGAGCTTGCATACTTTGTAAGTACATACAGAAAGTTGTCTGAAATGAATGGGAAGGGTTATGAACATAATGGTATTTGCAAAGGAAATGAAATGCAACTTTTAAAATTATGCTCACTGTTTCCTGAATGTGAGCCATTGCTCCCTCTATCTGTATATATAAGGTGAGGTTTTCAGCATAAACCTGGACTCAGGCCGCAGTGCTTAATAAAGAGGCTCATGCTCCTAAATTCTTTGGTGCACTTTGAAAATCCCACTCTCACTCAGCTGTACCCTTAAAAGCTGGAATATTTACAAATACCTAGCAAGGTTTTCACATGCAGGTATGACTTCTAATGAACCAAAACCAATTAAGAAGCAAAAATAGAGATGCAAATTTAGAGGGTGTTTGACTAGTTTATCTTTTGTGACTGCACTGTATTTTCTGTGGCTGCAGCTCATTAAACCATAGACTCATAGAATCCCAGAATGGTTTGGGATGGAAAAGACCTTAAGATCATCTAGTTCCAACCCCCCTGCCATGGGCAGGGACATCTCCCACTGGACCAGGTTGCTCAAGGCCCCATCCAAGCTGGCCTTGAACATTGCCAGGAATGGAGCATTCGAACTTCCCTGGGCAACCTATTCCAGTGCCTCACCACCTTCACTGTAAAGAACTTCTTCCTTACCTCTAACCTGAACTTTCCCTGTTGACGTTTGAACCCATTACCCTTTGTCCTATCGCTACAGTCCCTGACATAGCCACACACTAGACCAGGTTACATCCAGCCTGGCCTTGAACACTGCCAGGGATGGAGCATTCACAACTTCTTTGGGCAACCCGTTCCAGTGTCTCACCATTCTTGCAGTAAAGGATTTCCTCCTATCTAACCTAAACCTCCCCTCTGTTTTAGTTTGAACCCATTACCCCTTGTCCTATCACTACAGTCCTTGATGAAGAGTCCCTCTCCAGCATCCTCATAGGTCCCTTCAGCTAGTGGAAGGCTGCTATGAGGTCTCCACGCAGCTTCGCTTCTCCAGGCTGAACAGCCCCAACTTTCTCAGCCTGTCTTCATACGGGAGGTGCTCCAATCCCCTGATCATCCTCCTGACCCTCCTCTGGATTTGCTCTGACAGTTCCATGTCCTTCTTAGGTGTTTTCTACATACCACGTAAGCACAATACCAGTTGTGATATTTTTACAAACGCGTTGGTCCCTGTAAGCATGCTACTTTTATCTTATTTTTCATATTGAGTGTGTGTAAACATTTGAATAATAACATCATTCCAGTGTTGATACTATAATTAAAATTACATTTTGTGGTTTGTGTAGGAATATTGCCAAGTTGGTAAATGATTACCTTGAATTCTATACCATGTGAAGGAAAAAGGGGTGGATGTCAGAGGGGTAATTAAAGGTAGACCAGTCATGCTGCTTCGTGGAATTAAATATACTAATCGGATTCTGAGCTTAGGAGACAGAAATAGAAAAAGAAGTGGAGCGAGGCTGTGAACAACATTGCTCCCTCTTTTATCATTAGGTAATCTGGTTAAGACTTTTCAGACAAAGCTGCCATTTTACGAAGCCCCAGTAAGTTGAGTTATTTTTCTTCTTTGCTTTAGGTGTTAAAAATTGAATAACTAGTAGTCCTTTATTGCTTCAGTGATTGGAATGTTATATATTTACAACGTATCATTGCTGACTGGGGTTGACAGTATGAAAGTGGGTAAGTCCAAAGGAAAAAACTTGAACTTGTTATCCTATTAATCCTTAGCAAGGCAGCCAGCCCATCCTTCATGAGCTTAGGAACGCATTCACAGAGAGGCCATAATAGCAAGCACATATCTGAGGAAAATTAATACTGGCTCATAGTAACAGTAAGTACAAACTTTTTTTTTATTTAATGGTATGCTGTCAGGTAGCATTCTATTCTTACTGATTGATGGAACTCAGCTTTTATAAAAGACAGGATTTCTGCAGGTTTCTTACACACATACAGTTTAAAGAATTTCAGTTATAGTTCAGTATGTAATTTAGTTTTCTGAATAGAGAAGAATGATAGTTTCCTAAATACAAGGGATTTCTAAGATG